GAGCCGAAGATGAATGGGGTGAGTCACATAATTTAATACACGAACCAGAGGGATCTGTTTTGAAATTTTATTGCACAGCTAATTAATTGGCCAACTTGGCCAATAACTTGATCATTCTCTTCCGAACTGCCCAATCTGTGCATGGTGTGCATGTGTTTGCACTCAAATGGCATTGTATACATTTGAGACTTTTAGAATCTGAGACTGTCAGGTCTGATCAGAACTTTTCTTACCACAGTCTCACCTGGGAAAACAAAGAGTGAAAAAGATGAAGAGGTCTTTCAGCTAGTTAGTATAGGAGACAAGACTGGGCCAGGTGCTCATAATCCTGTTAAACCACACAGCAGCCATTAGCTATTTTATCTTTCATTTCCTCCCACAGGATGACCCAGAATTCAACTTGGATTAAGATTAAACAGATTACACTTCATCAGCTTTTTACTTTTCACTCTTCCTTTTTTCCTGCCCTTAACTTTCTCCTCCCATAAGTCCTCTTCCTCCTTCTATTCCATTTGTAGAAAATGTTCCCCACACATGGTTCTTTTGTATAGTTTTCACATCATTTCATCTATGTGGTTAATTCCCTCATCTGGATGCCTGCTTGGAGAAGAGTTTTGTGTTATTTTTGTCTTGGTCAACCATTTCCTGCCCATGAATGACAACAGAGACTGCTTCCCCAAATGCCCCATGGTGCTGATAAAAGGAGCTGGCAAAAGGCAAGACAGAAGCCACAGGGAAAGGTAGAGTCACCTATGCTCAAGGGAAACCAGCAGCTACATAGCAGGATTCTGATATCTGAGAGGTGAGCTCAGGATTCATTCTCAAAATCCATTCATCATGAAGAGAGTACCTGACATCTGGGGGCTCTGGATGGCCACCTTGACTAATAATGGCATCAGACTAAGAGGTAACATAGGTAAATTGACTTTTTACTGTTTCTCCAATATCTGATGGGACTCTGGATAGCAGTGGTCAAGATGTCTAAAGTTCCTGGCATAATATTAGATCAAAGTATGCAAAAATTATTCCTAAGTGGTCAATAGGAAAAACATCACTCACACTAGAAACCCCTTCTACACCTAAGGAGAAGCTGGCTTTGGGACCATATGGCATAACTCTGACTATGTATTGTCAAACTTGGACAGGTTTGCTCTTCTGGGAATCTGCAGGTCAGTACACAAGAGATGGTGATATCTGGAAGGAGAGAGGCACACGTGAGGGCCCATTAGGCTTCTTCCAACTTTGGGAGACTGTAGATGGCACCTTCCCATTACTTATCCATTAATTGGTCCCAGGCAGCATTTTTATAAGTGGAGATTTAGCAGATGGTATCCATTTAGAAAATAGGTCAAAAGAGTCACTGCCTTCTGAAACAAACAAAGCAGAAGGACTAAAACACAGAAAAATGGCAAAGAGTCTTTGTGACTTCTAAGCTCTAGGTGTGTTGTAAGGGGGCTAACAAGACACTGCATCCATCTGTGGGGCTGGTGGGTTGGAGAATGGGTTTTCCAAGCAGGAAGAGGAAATGGAGCGTGCAGCTAAATGAAATCTCTAATTTCTGTCTCCATAATGGTAATGACTTCTATATGGTGTCTTCTATCAGCTCTTATCTCAGGGAATGCTCAGTCTTCCCCTGACTTAGCTACTAAATCTGGTCCTCAATGGGCTAAGGGATGACATCTCTACATATGCTATATCTATTTCAGAGAAGATTAGCTCATGTGAAATAGGACATTGAGATGCAAAGGGAGTGAATCCAGAGTGAGAAGGAAGAGGTGGAGGGAGAGAAGTTGTGAGAAATACTAATGCTTTTCTTTGAGCAGGACCCTCAGCATTATCCATAGAAGAGACAACTTGACTCAGGTAAAGTCTCTGGAAGGTCTCCGGTAACCTCACTCCACTTGCCTCCCACCTTTGAATGGGATTTGGTGCACTTTGGAGTATGTCATATTAAGGTGTGAACACTCTTCAGGGAGACTTGACAAACTCTGATATTGAAGCACAAGTGCTACTAAAGATAGGTTTTCTCCCCTGATGCTTTGGAGGTTCAGAAATAGGGGGGGCATTTAGAGTATAGGCAAGAAGAGGCCAAAGCTTGGAAGGGAGGGGAGTGATCAAGATTCTGATCTGCTCCAGTAAGATATTCAACAAGATGTGCAGGGACAACAGACATAAGTCATATAGACATAGAAACCACCAACGATTATGATTCACTAAAATGTTGAAGAACAAATAAACTTACGTAACACAGAGATAGGCACAAAGCAGTAGTGAAAATAACTATGAGAACTGCACTGCAGTAAAAACACAGATGGAAGCCTGTCCCTGTAGATATTTCCAGGGGGATGGCTAGGAAAGGCTGGGCCATAAGGGGGTCCTTTTACAATGGTTGGAAATTGAATAAAGGGATGTCGTCTTTCCTTAATTACTCTCTCTGCAATCATCACGTCATCGCTGTGGAGATGCCTTAGGGAAAGGCATGTAATGGGACAATGGATGTGCATCTGAGAGGAAGAGCTATGGTGGAACATATGAGTACTGAGCTGAGAACCAGACCTCTGTGTTCTAGACCTGGCCCTTAGCTACTGGGTGGCATGTGGTCAAGCTGCAGTGCAGTGGCGAAAGCCCTGGGCTTATTAAAATCATAAGTAATGGCTTTCTAAACCTGAGCAGGTCACTTGATCTCTGAGCCTCAGTGTCCTGTGTGTAAAATAGGAATGAAAATACCTCTCTCCTAAGATTGCATGGTGTTACGAGGAAATGCATGTGAAATGGTTTGGAACTGAAAGACGCTATATGAAAGAGGTCTGGCTCTATCCTGTCAGTTACAGATGGCAGACAGCACCCTGAAGAAACAGAATGCCATGCCTAAGGGCACACATAACAGAGTTGGGCCCACATACCCAATTTTTAGGTTGAATCCAGTTTTCCTTTATGACACTGTTATGAAGCCTGTTTCTTTCCACCTGATGTGGCTGGATGAAGAATGGATGAAAAGATGGGGGGAGGAAAGGGAATTATGAAGAAAGTAGTGGCCACTATGTGAGTGCCAACCCCAAGAGAGCTGTTTGGCCAGAGGGTGGGCACCTTCAGAAACACGCACAGGGATCAGAGATGGATCTCCAGCTGGGAACCTTCATGAAGTCAACCAGCACTATGCGATCCAGTCCACCCACAGAAAAATCTTGCTAAGACTGCTGAGAAACCTAATGAGCAATAATGGAAAGAGATTTTGGCTTCTGAGATCTCACTTCTCAGGTCTGTTAAATTAGGATCCCTGCTGGTAGGTTCTTAGCAATAACATGTCATCATCACTTTTTTTTTCTTTTCTTTTCTTTTTTCTTCTTCTTTTTCTTTTCTTTTCTTTTTCTTTCCTTTCTTTCTTTCTTTCTTTCTTTCTTTCTTTCTTTTTTTTTTTTTTTTGGCTAACTAGTGCCAAGAAAATATAAAATGTAAGAAGACACTCTTGTCCATGGCTGGTTTTGGACCTGTGGATCAATGTCACCATACTGGAAGAGAAAGCAGTAGTTTTTCTCATGTAAAAGTTTTATCTAGCAACTCCTATCCAAGTGGCTTAATTTGAGCTTTGCATAAAAAACAAGTACCTTCAACAAAGTCTGATTATGAGGAACAGAGAAACCCCGATGAAAACATCCTCTTTGGGCAAACATGAAGTGTGGGCCATTTATCACCTTTGGCAGGAAACATGACTGTTAATTGGTCTCTTCATTAACCAAGGAGAATATCTACCACTATAGCAACTCACAAGCTAGTGGCAATTTGGGGGCAATCCTTAAGTGGTTTCTAACTCATAACCATATTTCTTCTGAAGTCTGCTGGCCTAGAGAAATGACTTTAATTCCTCATGAATAGACTGCCCTCATCCTCACTAATAACGGACTCCCCGGGAAGGAAGAGGACAAGTAAGGGGTACACATCACAAACAGAGGAGACACCCTATACCCAAACCTGAAACAGGGATGATTCATCTTTCAAAACCAGGCTACGTCCAGAGTGCTTTGTATTATCTGGGGGTGGGGGAGCAGGAGAAATCCTTTTAGCTTCTGCAGCTCCTAGGAAAGGAGCTTCTATTTTTTTCCTCCTCGAAACTGTTCTGTTCCAAAAGATTCTTATCAATTACGTGTGGACAGGGACAAAGGGATACTTACGCACAAGTGTCAAGTTCTGTGTCAAGGAAGGTCTGTGTGGGTGGGAAAGTTAGCAAGGAAATTCCACCAGCAACTGACAAGGAATGAGCTCTTTCTAGTAGCAACCAGTACTTCAAGTTTAGAGATTAGCGGGCAAAATCGCATTCCCAGTGGACATGCCAAGAGACACAGCAGTAAGGTCCCATGGGGGCAGGAGGCTTGCAACACCTTTCTGCCAGGCTCCCTCCCCTTCATGCAGGGAAATGATGAGCCAGGGTTTCACTCTGGGGGTCAAATGCCCAAGGACAATAAGAGGACAATATAGCCTGGAGCAATGGCTACCTCATTAGGTACACTTGAGGAGTCACTGGTCAGTAGCTTCCAATGGCTCTGTTATAGATGCCTCACCTAGGGTGTGTGACTTCTGGAGGTGGCATGCCAGATAAATTAGGTGTCACGCCCATCCAGTTTTGACATTCTTGGGATCTTGGCATTTTTTAGCGAGTTTCAGAGGTTTCTTTCCAACTAGCAAACTGCACCATCAGATGGGATGAGGGCCTAAGGATAGCACCTTTAATAAAAAGCATAAACACAGTGGGTGTGGTTGTAGTCTAGGTAGCTACTGGGGTTGTCTCTGGACCCACAGTGCCCAGGTGATGACTCAGAGAGGAAAGACAGTAAATACCAAATAAAAAATATGTATCCAGTGTGCGAGAATGCCCATTTTCATTCAGTTCCTACCTCTTTTCAAACTAGTGAATGTAATGTGCCAATGACAGCAGACAACTGGAGCAGAGAGCCCAGCAATTAAAAAATAAGACAGCCTGAGTTTGGAGAGAAATGAGGCCTTACCTGGAGACAGGGAGGAGTCGTAAGAACTTCTCTCCTTGCGGTTCATCTTGAAGGCCTGAATGTCCTTTTCCCTGTATGTCCCAAAGCCTTCGTAGCTCCTCCTTTTACTCCCGCTCATGTCACTGTCCCACTTGTCATTCGAAGGGTTCATGTCACTGAACACGTCCAGGCTCTCGGATCTGGTGCTGCCACCATCCCCACCACTGCCAGAGTACCTTTTTGTGCACGAGTCTGCAGGCTCACTGCTCAAGTCACCTTTGTCCTTGGCCTGTGTCCAATGCTGGGCATCAGAAAGTGACAGTGTAGACAGGGTGTCCACCTCAAAGTTGTTCTTAGAGGCTTTGTGGCCGGCTTCACTATGCTGGTGCTTCTGCTTCTCTTTATGCTTATTCTTCTCGCTCACTAACGGGAGCTCCTTGTCTGCACTACTCAGTCGCTCGCTCAGGATGTGGCTGGAGAAGCCTGTGGCTTTGCCTGCGAAGAGACCACTCAGGTTGTCATGGGTCCCTAAGATCCGGTCTTCCTTGTGCTTATGCTTGTGTTTGTGTTTTCTCTTGTGGAGCCGACCGCCGGACAGACTGGTACTGCCAGCCTTGGGAGGATTCAGGGATGGCTGTATGTCACCGAGGCCCATGGCGACAGGTCCCTGCAGGTGGACCCCATGCTTTGCTTTATGCTTAGCCGTACCAGACATCTTCACGTGGGAGCTTGTGTGGAACTGAGGTGGTGGCACCGTTGGCCTCATGAATGGGGATGCCGCTCCTAGTGTGTGCGACAGGTACAAGGGAGCTGGGTACTGACTGTAATAACCAAGGTTCATCATAGGCATTGATGTGTAAGGCATTCCATAGGGTGCATAGTAACTTCCACTGGGAATAGGGTAGCTGAACCCTTGTAAAAAAGGCACCTTTGTCATGGTGTCATTGGTTTTTGCAGGCCTACCACGCTTCTTCTTTGACTTCAAGTCTGAAGTCCTACGAAGATAGAGCAACGGGTCATACTGGATATATGGCACCGGGTAATAGTGATCAAAATTAATCCGAAAAATGCTGGGATACGGATTCTCGTGGTAGAAGGTGTAACTCCGGTGGGAGATCCTGAACACCTGGAACTTGGTGATGAGCTCTTCCAGGTCTGCCAGAAACTGGAGATCATCACGATTTTGCAGGCTTTTCCGTTTCCTCTTGTGCTTTGGCTTCTTGAGGCTCTCGTGGGCCAGGAAGTTGTCCACCATGAGATGCTTCTGCCGGTGGCCGTGCCGGGTCTTTGTGCTGGTGTCAGACGGAAGGGTCTCCGGGTTGTCCAGGGAGCAGAAATCAAAAGAGTACCTCCGTCGGGATTCTGAACTCTTCTCCGCTTGGTCAGACGTGCTGTTGTTGTCTGTCCCGATGCCGCTGTCACTCGGGATCGTCTCCTCGCTGTGCGACTCACTCACAGGTGACAGCGTGATTTCCTTGAGTGACCCAATCTCGCAAAGGTGGGAGGGTGAGTTGGCCATCAGCCTGGGCGGAGACAGCTTCCAGGCTCCACCATGGATTCCCTTCTGGGTTTTGGTTGGAAGAGCACTGATGGGCTGGAGATTTGGCATAGTTTTCAACTCGGAAAAGTTGGTTTCAGTGCTGGCGGGGCTCAGGTTGCCATTGGACCCACCTAACTGTGTGGCAAGTGGGTGCATGGCTGCTGGTGAAGATGCCACAAGAGACTGAAAGTTGGAAGGCACGGCTGGGACATCCGGCTGGCCAGGGACAGGCCTGGGGTGCTTGATGGCTGTTTTGGGTTCCTCGGACGCGGGTGGCAGCTCTGCTCTCGGCTTCCTACCCCGCTTCTTGCCAATGTAGATGGTTCCCCTCTTGCTGACATTAATCTGCTTGCCCAACTTGCTCTCAATTGCCGCTGCCCCAGGGCTGGTCTCAGGGGGAGCTTTAGCCTTCAGGGCAATGCTGCTGGAGCAGGACAAGATCTGGTTCAAGATATTTTTCCTCTTGAGTGTTTTCATCTTATTGATGGTTTTGATGGTCTTCTTATCCAACACCCCAAGCTTTCCAACTTTTTTGTGAAATTTCATCTCACTTATAGGCTTGTCCTCTCCCGGCACTAGTTGGGCCAACTTGGCTAGGCTGCGTCGCCTCTTTCTTTTCTTTGTGCCAGGGAACTCCCGGCTGATGGGGCTGACAGGACTGGTGGAAGTCCCCTCGTGAATCGTCTCAACCGTGAGCAGGGGCTGCTTCTTTGGCCGCCCCCGCTTCTTCTTGACCGGTGTGATCACAGTAAGACTGTCTGTGTTGGTGTACAGAGGGCTGGATGGGGTGATGGGGTAGGCAGACGGCGGTTCCACCATCAGTTTATCAGAGGTGGCCATGACTGCCTCCCGAAGCATACTGGTGGGCTTTGGTTTGCTGCATGTCCACCTCCGTTTTGCGGCAAATTTGGGATGCTGGATTTCCGGCAGCTTTCTCGAGGGAGAGTGATCCGTGCATGTCGGAGGCGTCATGATCATGGGTGGCTTCCTCTGCTTAGACACACCTCCAGGAATGACTTTCTCGGCATTTCCACCTGTTTCAAGGCCAACTGAGGGGGACTCGCTCTCCATCATTTTACTCAACTTAGGGACACGGGGATCTTTCTTGTTTCCCTCAGTGTTAGAAAGTATCCTGTTAACCACTTCACTGCTCATAGTGATTCCAGAAGCCAGGGCTTTCTCTGGCATGATCTTTTCCACCACTGCTTTGATGGACTGTCTCTTTTTCCTCTTATGGCTGGTTGGATCTAGACAGGGTGCTTTGATAGGGATAGTAATCCGGACATGACTCGAGTCATTTTCGGATTACTGATAGAACTCACACCCTGCCTGGCTGGTGATGCCTCTTGGGCGTTATCTGCGGGGTAGCCTTCCCTTTTCCCTTCTGTATTGTCAAATGCTTTCTGAGCATTCTTGACCCAGTCCAGGTCTGGATTTGATATGGTCTGACTTATCACATCTTTTTTACTGGACTTTTTCTTGCTGCCTAGAGTAGGTGGTTCTGGGGGCTCCTTTGCAACTCCTCCATCTTGATCTACCAAAGGTTGAAGCCCGTTGCACTCTGCAGAGCTGCTAGGTGCAGCTGGTGAGCTGTGGCTGCCCGGGGATGGGACCACACCTCCCAAGAGCAGATCTTTGCTGCTGTTGGACAACTGACTCCATGTGCTCCCTGCACTGCCTTTCTTACCCTGGGCCTTTGCAAAGGAAGCCATGGGCTCAAGAGCAGGGATCTTGCTGGTGCTTGCAGTTTCTCTGCCAGACTCTGGACTGATGAAACAATTCTGAGTGGCAGGTCCACTGTCAGAGTTGGTGGACCAGTCCATGTGGTTCTGGCTGCTGCTTTTTTGCTGGTGCTTTGGTTTTAAGGTGTCACTGGTGACGTCCTGTGGGAGGCCTGGGTCATAGTGGAGATTTGAATGTTTCTGTGGCCGCTCGTAAGCCTGGGGGGGGGGGCGGTGAGTGGAGAAGGAGAGAGGGAGAGAGAGAGAGAGAAACAAAGATGAGCATGTTAGAGCTCTTTAAAATTCAATGTCAAAAGGCTTAATTATTTGAAAGTTGGAAACAGCCACCTTTGATTCCAGAATGCTTTTAGAACTTTTCTCATTTGCACAAGCAAAAATATGTTGTACTGATTTGGAATATTATTAAGGATGCTTTAGTTGCTGTCTTCATTGCTCCTTCCTACCTCCCCCCACTCAAGCAACAGGAACTTTTACCTATTTTGGTTGAATGCAATGTTGGAATAAGAACTGTTTAGAAAGAGATCAGGCCCTGCAGGTCACTTAGCTCAGTGCTTAATTGTAGGCATGGAAAAGCCGAAACTTGTACAATAGCAAGTCCTGCTCATGGTGGCAGAGCCCAGGAGACTTTCTGACTCCCTGGTCCCTTCGCCTAACTCAAGCTGCCTCTGATTTCTGTCCCCCCTTCCCCTCCAACTCACGTCTTTCCCTTGCTTCCTCCTACTAAAGTTCATTTCTGTTTGCACTTTACCCGGGAGATACACATCTCTGTGCTAAAACAAGTAGCTCCTTGAGAACCACCGCAGCAAGGAAACACAGCGCGAGCTGGGGAACTGAGGGGGACGTCTGAAGAATGTGTGGGGCCACGGCAGCTGTTCATGGACACAGAGAAGAAGAAATGAAGCAGGAAAGAAACGCAAAAGACCTCTGATCCTTCTGACTCAAGGAGCAGCTTGGGGTTTGGGAGTTAGCACTCTGAGACACCCCAAAGCCTGGGTTAGGCACTGACTGCTCTCTTGACAAAACTAATGGACAGTCTCAAAAGGAACCTTGAGTCTCCTGGAAGAATGTGCCCCCAAAAAGCACATTCAAGCCTAAAAAGTCATTCAAGATCACGACCTTTTGAACTTTGTCAGCTGTGCTTTCCCTACATGAATTCTAAAGGAAAGTCTCCAGACTCTGGCACTTTCCTTAGGACTGACTCTTCAGTTGGGAAAGGCAGGATATGTGCTAGAGGCCTGACATAACCAGTGTCTACAAAATCACAAAGGCAGTGGATAGTGAACACATTGTTTTGAGACATTAAAACTTTTTTTTTTAATGATACATTCATTTGAGAGAGAGAGAGAGTGAAGGGGGGGGGAGAGAGAGAGAGAGAGAATGCACCAGTGGAGAGGGGTAGAGGGAGAGAGAGAGAAACTCAAGCAGACTCTATGCTGAGTGTAGACCAGACACAGGGCTCAATCCTACCACCCTGAGATCATGACCTGAGCTGAAACCAAGAGTTGGATGCTTAATGGACTGAGCTACCCAGATGCCCTGAGACATTAAAACTTTTTAATGTAGGTGTGCTAACATCATCTCAGATAGATTTTAAGCCATGCTACCATTACAAAGATGCATTCCTCAAAGTTTATTGTAAGTCCTGTTTTATACACCCAAATAGTAAACGTATAGGATGCATTATCCTAAGATTTGTTAAAGAAGGGAAATACTAGTAAAATGAAGAAAGTTTTGGATAGTATCTCTATTGAGAAGTAAATGATGATTGGCTTAGTGGATTTAGGAAGTTTTAACCTGTAACCTGTATCTGCCTTTATCTATGTATCTATCCATGAAGCTACCATCTATCTACACTGATCTATTTGCCATTGATGCCCTAGCATTTATGCTTCATTAGAGAACATTTTTCATAGTCCCTATTAAGAATCAAAGCAGAGGTGTCAGAAAGCATTATGGGTCAAATTCAATGCAGTAAAGCAAGCAGGGTTTCCTTCACTCTAGTTCCTCGAGTCCCTGGGGTTATTTTTTGCCTCCCTGATTTTGTGAAATCTGGTTTATACTTCTAGTATTGGACTCAGTTTTTTGTTTTTTAGATTTTATTTATTTTATTTTATTTTATTGTTTTTAGATTTTATTTATTTATTTATTTATTTATTTATTTATTTATTTATTTGACAGCAGGAGAGCACAAGCAGGCAGAACGGCAGGCAGGGGGAGAGGGGACACAGGCTCTCCGCAGAGCAGGGAGCCTGACATAGGGTTCCATCCCAGGACCCTGGGATCATGACCTGAGGTGAAGACACATGCTTAATTGACCAACCCACGCAGGCGCTCCATGGACTCTGTTTTTTAAGTATCATGAGAGAATCTTCCCAGGCTAAGCCTGTAAGTTCCCAGGAGAAAATTAAGACCAAAAAATGTATTTACTTTTTTCTTCATCTTGCAATGTTTATTTTTTATTTTTTTATTTTTTTATTCATGAGAGACACAGAGAGGGAGAGAGAGAGGCAGAGACACAGGCAGAGGGAGAAGTAGGCTCCATGCAGGGAGCCTGACGTGGGACTCGATCCTGGGTCTCTAGGATCACACCCTGGGCTGAAGGCAGCGCTAAACTGCTGAGCCACCCGGGCTGCCCTCATCTTGCAATGTTTAGTGGACACCACCATTACCAACATCTACAGAACTAATCCTGCCACTTCACTTTGCCGGCTAGGCATTACTGCTGTGGACGTAGGCTGCTGTCCCATTTTCAAAAAAAAAAAAAAAGAACACAAAACAGAAATCTTATTCACAGCATAAAATATTGAATGGCACTTATCTTTTATGAATCAGAACTTTGCCAATTTGTCATTTGTGCTTTAGATTTTAGTTGGCACTGTGTATATACTCATAGGATGACAAGTCCACAAAAAGGCCTAGAAACAAACTTTCCTACTCTTTAGGGCAACAGAATAATTGAACACTCATATTAGAACATTTGTGAGGGTTCATGGTGGCACTTATTCAATGTCACAGTGGGACAAAAAAAATCTGAGTTACTGTTCTGGATCCTGGCAAAGCAGGACTTTTAAGTCACCCTGTTTTTCCTGCTCCCTCAACCCCACTTTTCTAGATCTGGTCACTGGGGCTTTATAATGAACCTGAATTCTTGGTTCCTGGTTCTCACAGTTTTGTTGTTGTTGTTTTCTATTGCCCCCTCTTCTTCTTTTTGGTACCTAGAAGAATCCTTTATTACCTCTCTTCATGGTCAACTCAGCTTGATCATAGGGAGGCCCCCTACCTTACAGAAATACTCCTATTACAAGTTTTGATGAAATCACATAGGTCATCTTTGTTGTATTTTTAGCTTAGTTTTAATTTTATATTTGATTCATGCATTAATCAAATTAATGCTGGTTTCCCTTTCTAGCCTGTATACACCATCACAGAAGTACCAAGCACAGCACCTGGCAAATACAAGGCATTCAACAAGCGTTTATTGAACGAAGGAAGGAACACACAGTTCGCTACAGGTATTTCATTTTGTCAATAGTGAGATTAATCCCCTGTATATTACAACATATTGTCTGCAAACAGAGTTACCCCTCTGGCCTAATTTCTTATGTCATTCCTTCTGCATGCACCACTGTCTCTCATAAAGACATCCATCACACTCCTTCTAATGCCATGTGCCATTTATTTGTATACTTTTCTCCCTCTCCTAGACTGTAAGTATGTTGAGGTCAGAGACTCATTTACCTTATCCGGTGTGCCCACTCCAAAGCAAACCACCCAGAAAGTTCCCAGTCAATGTTTGTTGAGTGAATAAACAAAATCATGTTTGAGATGCCTTATTACCACAACAAAACATGTCGCTGCACACAGAAGACAATAAACTGCCAACCCTTCATTTGATAGTGGAGCACTCAAATGCATTAGGTGTTGAACAACAACAACAAATCCTCCCCTAATACTTAAGGACGAAAGGCATTTGCAAGGTAACTCCTCTTCAATGCAAGTTTTACTGTTAGTTCTCCTTCATCTCCTGTGAATTATTTCACTTTCCAATTAACCTGCCATTAGGGAAGGCCATGTGACTGTCAGAGGGGTGGGTTTCACTCCACAGCTGAAAGGTGGGGCCTGCTCACTTACACCCAGGGCAGACCAGCCGCAAGTAATGCAGTTAAGTGTGCCTGGTTCCATCTGGACACTGCCTGAGCTCATTGTTTCTACCATTTCAGCTGCAATTTGCCCTGCTGAGAGGGCTCCGCCATCAAAGGGCAGGGTGGACAAAAGGGAAGCACAACAAAGGATCAGGACTAATAGGGGGAAATGGTGCTTTAAACCCAGCACTGAGATGGAATGCAGAGAAGGGGCAAGGGGGTCTGAGAAGAAGTACTCTCTAAGGGGTCCAGGAGAACACGGTATTTTCTCCAGCCTTGGCTGATGGCTATATCCCGTTGCATTTCACGGAATCCCATTTCTTCATCTGTCAGCCATGACATATTATACACACAATGGTGAAGCTGTCAGTTCCAATATGTCCTTCACTGAGAATTGAGTACTTACTCCACAGAGACAGAGATGGACATGGCAAAACAGGCCCCTAGCTCAATGCTGGCTGGGGCCAGGAAGGAGAAGGGGGGTGTTCAGTCTCCCCTCTCCCTCCTTTCCAGTCCTCTGGGATGGGATTCCCCAAGGGGGTTATTGGCTGGGGGCTTTATTGACCCGCTTAGCACACATTTCCATTTTCCTCTTAGATTCTGTGTCTTTTTGCAGATAAGACCTTAATCTTTAAGGCCTCCATACTACCCTCTGTCCATAGCAAAGGTATTGTCTAATATGGTTACCAAATAAGGGAAGACCTGATGATATTCTACATTGGGCTGATTATTTTTGTAGAAAACTTTTAGTGCCAACTAAGCTCAGCATTATCTCTTGGCTATTCCCCTACTCCCATTAATTGTTTGTGAAACATACAGTCTTTTTTTTTTTTTTTTTGCTTCTTAAAGATTCATTTATATTTGAGAGAGAGAAAGAGAGGGAGAAAGCACATGAGTGGATGAGTGGGGGGGGTGGGCAGAGGGAGAGGGAAAAGCAGGCTCTCCATTGAGCTGGGAGCCTGATGTGGGGCTCAATCCTAGGACCCTGAGACTAGGACCTGAGCTGAGGGCAGACACTTAACCAACTGAGCCACCGAGGTGCCTCCACACAGTCAT